AGCAATGAATCGTTCAACATCTTCATTGTCGGTTAACAAATAAACTTTACCATTTCTCTGAAGATAGCCTAAATCCACTTAGGGGCTCTAAATTCAATTTATTTGAAACACGTAGCATTAGAGTTTCATAAGTAACTTTTGTAAAGACAATTTAGTTGAAGATTCATGGGTAAAGGCATATATTGTAAAACACCCATTAACATTATCCCATGACCCTCCAAAACACAAATCTATCCAAACATGATCAACATTAGATGATTCATGGTTGTAAATTAATTTACTAAACAGACGAGCTGCGAAACTAAAACCTGTTGCCGGATTGGGAAGGATGTCGTTGGATATAGGAACGGATGTCGCCGGAGAGAGTGATAGATGGAGATGGAATGAGTTGCGATTTAGGGATTTAGTTTATGATTTCAGTGTTATATACCCAAAATTTCAGTGTTGTGATTTACAGACATATGCCCTACCGGATTTACAGATTCTCGTTGCGATTTACGGATTATCGTTGCGATTTTACGGATTATCGTTGCGATTTACGGATTCTCGTTGCGATTTACGGATTATCGTTGCGATTTACGGATACGCGTTGCGATATACGGATACGCATTGCGATTTACCCATACGCGTTGCGATTTACGGATACACGTTGCGATTTACGGATACGCGTTGCGATTTATGTGTTCGCGTTGCGATTTTCATATTCGCGTTGCGATTTTGGAAAATCGCAATGCGAATTTGTACTATCGCATTGCGATTTTCAAGAATCGCGTTGCGATTTTGGAAACTGATTTGCGATTCTGGGGATCGCGTTGCGATTTTTATTTCGCGTTGCGATTTTATTGGTCATTTTGGCAAATCCAAAAAAAGTTGGTTAAAATCGTATATTATAACTTTTTTTTGGTCACTGAGGCGATTTTCTCAAGAATAAATTATATCAAATTGAAATATGAAGACTAATAAATCTCCCATTTGAGTATATATAATAAAATACAGGAAAATATTTTAAATCCAACTCATCGATTGAATAAAAGCTTACATCAATTAATAAAACCAAAAGTGGAAAGATTCAACTATTTTGCTCACATGTTATGCACACCAAAATCTAGAGAACTTGTTGCATAAAAATGTGTTGTTCATTTTCATCTTTGTCAACTGTATACAAAAAGCTATAAAGCGATAAAGTTCAGTATTGAAATCGGATCAAACCGAAATTTTATGAAAATTTGAAGGATGTTAGAAAATGGTTGGAAATATTATTTCCATATTTTGGATCAAAGAAATTTGGCTCATAACAGTGTAATTTTTCATAGTCGAACAATGGAACTTTAGTGACTAAAGTTTAATTTTCAAAAATTGCATGGCCAAAGTGAAAAGTCAAAGTCAAGTTGATTCACCTTTGACCAAGGAATATTTTAATGGAAGATAATGAATTTGCATTTGGTAATTTTCAAGTTTCATTAATGGTATTTTTGGAATTTCTCATTAATTTAATTTTAAATTAAATTAAATTAATTTTATGCCAAGTGTATTAGATATTAAATACTAGAATTATCAAGGTTAAGCATCATTTTTCAGTTACTTCTTCTTTTTATGCCTAAACTACTCTTGCTTATAGTTAAGTATTTTATTTTTGGTTTTTAAGCTTATATGATTGTTTTTTGGATTAAGTTGTGAAATAGAGAATCAATCTACATGAAATTTTCTATCATTTGGTACCAATATTTTATGGCGAAGATGTTTGTGTGTTGAGATTATGAATTAGGGTTTATCTAGGGTTTTTGAATTTTGAAGAATTAATGAAATATTATTATGTCTTTGATGTTGAAGATTAATTTTCAAGCATGTATGATGTTTAAAATCAATTGTAGAATGATTTGAAGCATTTACCCTAATTAGGGTTTTGGTGATTGATTGGATTTTGGTTCAATTTTATATTGCGTTGATTAGAATAGCATGAATTTGAAGCAAGGAAGTTGAATTCAAGCTTGAAATTGAATGAAAAGCTAGCCTTTTGACCATAGTGATATTCGACCATTAGGGGAAAATTAAGGAAAATATTGAAAATTTTCCTATGGTCTAGAATTGATATTAGAATTGTTCTATGTGATTTGGAGATTAATTTAGGTCAATTTGGAGCTTTGAGTTAGAAAAAGAATTAATATACAAGTTTTGAGAATTATGGGATATTGTTGCAAGCATGTAATATTTGGAGGATTCAATGCCAATTTTTGGGTTTAATTCTTAAGTTGAGATTTAATTTCAAGTTTATCAAGTTCTGTGGTTGAATTTGGAAAGTATAAGAAAGTTTAGGATGAAATTGCAAGCTTTTGAATATTTAAGTGTTGATTTGAATATGTTATTGAGGTGCTGGAAATTTTATGTGATTAATGTGAAATGATCATAATGGTGAAGGGTCATTATGGATTAAATAGGAAAGTTGATATGATTTCTAAAAAGAATTCATAATTAGTGGTTGAATTATGAAATTAGTAAAAGTTGAAGAGTTGATAGTGAAACCAAGTTTTCAGAGAATTTAAGGAATATTTTAAGAAGTTTGAAATTATGATGGAAGTACGATTTAGTTTTATATATATTTAAGTATCTATTTTATTTTTGATCAAATTTTATATTTAAGTTTAAATTATGTTAGTTCGATACTAACATATAGCTTGAACATTTTTATGATGTTATATGACATTGTCAGTCTACGGTAAATTTAGTGATCCAAGTAATTCTAAAGAGAAGGAAATGATGCAGAATTTAGAAGATTATCGTGAAGAAAGTTCAATAATGAGGCAAATGTGAGTGTATTTAATTTGTACTTATGTTATCGAACAAACATTGACTTGAGATGAGCGAGTGTCGGAGTTATGTTAAGAATTGACTCTTAGTGTACTAGGAAGTGTGATTTAAGCCTACATGTACATTTAGTAAACTAATAAATTAGTGAATAAGTTAAGGATGCAAGTTGGTAAAATATGTATATAGAAATTATGTTCTGAACAGTAAGTTTAGAAAATCACCAAGTTATATAAAAATTATTGAAGGATGAATCTTATGCCATTGGATTCATATTTCAATCTAGTTTCGTTTAGAACAAACGACAATTAATTCTGATGAGTATACAAACGACAATTGGAGTTCCTTATATGGTTAGATTCGTATTCGAGTCTATTTTTCAGTGGTGCAAACAGAATAATTTTTTAGTATCTATATTTATACAAAATATTATTTCTTTGAAGGTAGTACAAACTACCAGTATATTAAATTCTGATAAATTGTATAATGAAAGCAATTTAAAGTAAAAGATTAAACCTAAAACTTAATGAGACTTATATTTTGATTTATAATGCAAATTATTTATTTATTTGATTATTATGATCAATGACGACTTGCGATAAGTCAACCTCATTTTATTTTTCCAGTACGATTTATAAGTTCTTATAATGGAATATTTTCATAATATTTTTTTATCAAGTTTTATGAACGATTTTGGGTATGAACTGCCCAATTACGATATTTATGATGATTAATTCTAAATGTTTATAGTTATTAGACATTTTACAATTATCAGAGGTTTTACAGTTATCAAACGCAGATTAGTAAATGATATTATGATGATAAATATAATCACATTGTATGTTGCATTTAGAGTTGTATGTACATTTGACATGTCATTAAGTTGAATACTTTTCAGGTTATGATTGCACTGAAGTGCATCATATCTCAGTTTCAGTTCCGCTATGTACATTTGTATACCCTATGATCAGCATCGTTGGTGCACATGTTATAATTGCACTGAAGTGCATCACATCTCAATTTCAGTTATGATTCGGCATCGTGTTGTGCCTTGTGCGCACCTTATACTCACGTACATTACATTCTCTTACATATATTGATATACACTGGGCTATAACAGTAAATGTGAAAGTTATGACAGTATATGAAAGAAATGAATATATAATTGAAAATAAAGTTTTGAAATATGTTCGAGTGAAAAGAATAAAGTTATTTATGATATTTGATGATGACTTACATGATTTTTGACAAAATCATGAGATGATGATTTTAAGGTTTTCAGAAGGGAAACGACTTGATTAGTCTAGTTTGAAGTTTTAATGTTTTTTATTTAAATTACAGTTTATTGCCTATATTTTTTGGAATTTATGTTTTAGCTATACTTTTGTCTCACAAAGTTTTACTTAGTGTGTGATGATTTTCATGCGTAGGTGCGAATATAGTAGAGGACGTGAAGTGAGAACCTTGTCAGCATCTTATGGAAATCAAATCTATCGACAGTATCAGTAAGACATCTTAACTTTGACATATTAGTGGCATGTACATTATATTCGTTGGGTTACTTTATCAGATTTATATTAAAAAGGGTCTAAAATAACAATTTAAAACCTTTTTAATGTTTGGTTAATTTCGGTTATAATTGTATTTATAAATAAATATTTTGACTGATTTTAAATATATTTTAAATTAAGTAATATTTAGACAATGATATATAATTATGAACAGTTCTGAATTGTCTGCTTGCTGATTGAAATTGAACTTATTTTCAGTGATTAAATTTATTTTACAATTTCATACGAATAAGATTAAAGTTTTTAATTTGAAATAGAGAAAGTTTAAAAATGAATCGAGATTGAAGGGGTTGCTTGTTTACCTCTTAATGAAACTATTCAACGCTGAATGCTGAACCGTTCAACATTCAACGCGTTTGTTTCACACATCTAAATGATTCAGTGCTGACTGATTCAACAAAACAATATTGAATAATTCAACACAGAAGTATATTCTGAATGATTCAAAGCTATTATCAAACAACATGTCACATCCAGAGTTAATTCATTCAGAGCCTCTGAATCATTTAACATTTGAATCGTTCAACGCTTAATCATTCTGAAGTAAACAAACGACCCCTAAATCTTTATACTCAATAAATGTTTGTTAAATTGATGTGACATCTATAATTTATATATAGAGACATATATGAGGTGCAACTGAACCTGTACTTTCTATAAAAGCCGCCAGCCAAAGGAGCTGGCAAATTTACAAATTATTGAAAAGAATAACAAAAAAAATAATTACGAGCTCACTGGTGAGTAGTGACAAAAATAGTGAGATTCTTCGTTTGTTTCAGTTCTGAATACGAAAATAGTCCGAGGGGAGAGATTCGGTTCCCGAAGAGAAGCTCTCTAATGCTTTATATACCAGAGAAAAATGGCAAGTATGGCCTCCTTAATTCATATACTTTCGACAGTTTGGAGCTTTACATAGGCAAGGAACTTTGTGTTCATCGTGCTCATCCGGATCAAACAAGTAATCATATCTGTCAAAAATACATACACATGCCATATCATATCATCTGAATTGTAATTAATCGATCAAAGAATACAAACTGAGATGGATAAACAATGACAAAATACAGATTAAAAAAAGGAATCCGTAAATCTTACGTTAGCTCATCACCGACAGACACATTGGTCTTAGCAATAAGAACTATCCGACTCTCCTCATCCCCAACACTCATGATCCTCGCATAGCAATTAGGCATGCACTGCAAAACGATGATATTTTCAGCATACTAAAATGAATGCACAATGCAACGCAATGAACACCAGGACTAATCAAGTAATCAAAGGTGCATGTGCATCCTTATTTTCTCCTTTTTTGTGGGGGCGGGGTGGGGTGAATTATAAGACCATACCGAATGATTGATTAAGCGTGCAATATTCCCTTTATTGGTCGCATCAATCACTACTTCCTCACTGATTTTGAACAGCTGCATTACATGTCAAATAACCATAAAACAGTTTTTATACACAATAAGGCAGCAGCAACAAAAATTGACCTATGCAGAAGGAAAGTGTATTTCAAGCAAGATTAATTACACAATTGAGGAGGCACCATGTCAAGTAATACAGGAAATGATAAAACCTCATCCGTTTTACAAATGCCTTTTAACATATATGGACATTTATATTAACGAGCATTCGGTTTAATGTCTGATGGTTGGGTAAACCATTGACATGGAATCCTTTTTCAGGAATTCCAGCAGTTTATCCAATCTACAGTAAGCATATCAAGAAGGCTTTCTAAAAGTTCAAAAGCTTTGTAACGATTTAACTTGCTAATACAAAAAACTTAGTCAGATGGATACTTCAGCATGATCAAACCTTAAAGCTCGAAAAACCAAAATTTGCAATTATATATATATATATATATTTATAGGCATTTGTTTATCAATTCAATAATCAAAGTAATATTTGTATAGTACAAGTAAAAACTAGACCATAGGGTTATTCATAGATATAGTCGTTGAGATGGTCAAGTTTTTTTTTAATAAGAATAGGAGGCCTCGTTAAAAAACCCCCTTCTTAACTGTCCGTTCCCATAAAAAGGAGAACAAACAATCATGAGTGTATCTTTTCTGTTATTAATGAATTCTGAGGGGCGCTCCATTAGTCATGAAGGGGGTTTTAACGAGGCCTCCTCTTCTTATAAAAAAAAAAAAAAACAATCATGAGATGGTCAAGTCTAAACCCTTTGAATATTAGATGCATAACATTCATTGATAGGGATTGATAAAATCTTACATAGCAATCTTTCCCTTCAGAACGGTACCGTGCCTCCCTATGATCTGCAACACTACGCCTAACCTGTTCACCACGATACTCAACAACCTGAAATACACATGCTGATTATCAACACCCCAAACATTATAATGCTCAAGAAAATGCAACTACAAACCGAATCAATGTAGATGCCTTGAGAAATGGACATCACAGTACAAAGAATATACCATTTCTCCTTCTTGAATGTTTCTTCGTGCAAAGAGGCCCCATCCATGAATACCAGATTTTCCAAAACAAACTCGGTGGTTCTCAGTTATCTAAAGACACGTACAAAATTTGAATTAAAAGAAAACTATCACAATAAAATAACCAGCTTGACATGATCAAGAATCATAGCTTACCTGCAACTGGTATAATCTATCCTTGAATGACGAGAAAATGGTAGAATCATCCACTTCCTGTTATAAGACAATGGGTCTTATGAAGATGGTAATCTCATTGACAAATCCAAGAGATGCAGAAGGTAAAATTCATAGATCTATTCTCCAAATAAAAACTTTACAATCAAAGATAGAATATCTATTAAAAGAAAGAATAGTACTTTATATGTGCTCAATGCATTTAATGCATCTGTTGGATGGTGCCTTGGCCCACCCAGTTTGTGGAATATCGGCTCCCCTTCAGCCCCCTGGGAAACAAGAATGGCATATATAATTGGAAAAAAGTAATCACAAAATAATTAATGGCCTCACCTTCATCATGAAAATAAAAACAAGGTTTCATGAAGTATAAGATATAATCAAAGAAAACTGGAAAATAATACTGATATACAGAAATTAAAAGACACAGCACATCAAAAGATTCCTGGAATCTACCTTAAAATTTAACCTTGTAAAAACACGGCATCTAGCAGCAGAACATGCATCAAAGTCACTGGAAACTGGAGCTGGGGATCCAGGGAGCTCTGCAATCTTGGATGAAATCAGTCTTGAACCTCTAAGACATTCATTCACATTGTGAAGAACATTTCTGGCAGCGAAAACCCCTGAAGGAGTATGCATGACAACAACAGCATCTGGATTTGGGCTCCTGCGATGAAGACCAAAATATGAGGATACAATACAAACATGGATGACACATACAAAAGCATAACCGGAAGTAAACTCTTTCTTCATAAAGAATATAAAAAAAAGGGACTCTATCCGAACCTGTGAACAGAGCAGTATATGAACTTTTTCGTCATTTGCATCCCATTCTTCTCCAAGCAATGCAGCTGCAAATTAATAACAAATAAATACGAGTTAATTATTAAACAACGTCAACTTAAAAAGTCGTTCATAAACATTTCAGCAGAAATTTGAGTTCAGACAACACTCTTCAAACACAGAAATCTTGGATCAACATTTTCCCTTGAGCTAAACATAAAGGGCTTAAGCACTTACCTCCATGCTATATCCTGCTCTTGATGCACACATCACATGAAAATAAGTCGCACACTTGCAACACTGAGTGCAGGAACCATGAGTTTGCTTACAAATCACACAACTCTGTCATCCACACAATTAAAGCATACTTAGATGAAATGTAATGAAATATTGTGATAAACCATGATGAATTGCAGAAAACAATGAAATCTCCTGACCTAACAACTAGTGTAAAAAACGATCTTAATAACTGAATTCTCAAAAGACATGATAGTTTACAAGGACAATTCTATTAGGAAGGGCACCTTTGAGAATGAAGTTGATGGAATTCTGAGGATTCCAACAGCAGGTTCCATTTTCTTATGATCCAAGAAAGAAACCAACTTCGGGATGAAACCAGGCACACGTGACATGAACCCATAGTGACTCAACATGAGTTGGCTTCAAAGCACCCCCTAGAAAAGCATATTTACATATTTCAAGAACAAACTGTTGAAAGAAATAATCAAATACCATGAACAATAACAAAGCTAGATTTTTTTTTTTTGAGCAATCAAAACTGAATTAACAATTTTTGGAGGAGGCGAGGAGCTGAAATGCAATTTTAAAATTGTAAAAATCTAAATTTTTATAATTTCTAAAGAAACTAAAGCATAAACTTTACATTTTGGGGCAAGAAGTTAAATGTCATTCATATTTCATTGCAACCAAGTAAATGCCCCAAAATTAATCTGTTAAGTCATACCCCTGGTCCAGCCACCTATTCTTCCCAGATAGCACACATTGGTGCTTTCTGAAAAGATCTTCACAATCTACTTAACTTCATAAATAATGAATCCAGCAAAGAATAAATGTGAGTAAAAACTAATTTTAGATGATATAACCTTTTACAGGGCAAAGGCAACACTCCCTCTTGATATCAGGTGTTTCACAAGCTCTACAAACCCAAGAAGTCAAATCTTGAACATCACTTGCTCCATAGCATTCTTGGTGAACGGCTATTTGACACCTGAAAAAACAAAGTTCTCTTTCTAAAATCAGGGAATTATAAAATGAAATGCAAGTTTATATCAAGAACTGGTGCATGATTAAAATACCTGTTGCAGATAATAATTTTGTTATAATCCCAGTCTTCAACCCATCTACACACGGCACATCTTTCTGTAGTCCATTTTGCATCAACAGGATCATATTTTTCTGAAAATTATAGTTGATTTTCATGAGTTTGAAAGTAACTAACTTCTCCAACTCAATGCAAAAGGAGGGCATTAAAAAGAACTTCAATAGAGGAAAGTCCCTATAAGAAAGGCATTTACCTTGCAAAATACCAATTAGCTTCTGCTTATCTAGCTTCGTAGGAAGAACACCAAAGGGCATTATACTCAACAATCTTCACATAAGTAACAGGTGGATATAATGCATGATAGCTTAGATTATAGCCATGAATAGTATGAAGAAATCAAGAACATTAAAAAAAAAGAAGCAAAATCACAAACACCAGAACAGACCCATTTTTCCAGAGGTGTCATTGTGCCCTTGACTTTCACGCTACACTTCCATTTTTTTGCTCTACAGCCTGTATGTCGCTCCCATTCACTGAGTGTATACTTCTTTGGCCCGCATGCACAGATCAACAAGCCATTCTTATAAATGAACAACTTTGCAAGTCCTATAAGCCAAAATGGAGGAAAGCAGAGTACATAAACAAAAATTTATGGGAAAAGAAAGAAATATCCAACCGAATTAGTCCATAGTAGAACTACAACACATCACATGTCACTTAATTCAATGAAATTATTAGATACCCCATTAAACTAATAATGGTGCTGTCAAGTTCAACTCATAAAAACATGAAAATTGTTCTAGGGAAACTCGCCTGATTGTGGGAGTATAAACAATGAAGATCCTGACTTGAACAACTGGGTTGAGCATATGGGTATACTACTTGTTGGGTCTTATGTTCTGAGTCTAGGAAACCGTTTTCTGCTAAAACTGCCTCCTCCAATGCCATCTGAAAATCACTTTGCTTCCACTTGTACAACTGGGTCTGCCCCTGACATCTGAACCAGCAAATTTTCTGGAACATTAGAAACACTTCATTTTCAAACACCAAGTGTGTTCGGACAATACAGTGATTGGAAGAAATTGTATTACTAGGGTAGTAAATTCCATCTGGAATCTCCCCCCAGGATAAAGGCCATATCTATATGCGGCATGATGGTAAATCTTTACCACTGAATGACACTTTTTGTTACATCTTTTTATAATTATAACTAAACGTATTTGATTAACAAAGTGTAATTAGACTCAACTCACCGAGACACACTACTTAAATCGAAGTAAAATAAATAAATAAAAAATTCCTCCAATTCTTTACCGTTGAAAGAATTGTAGCTTGTAAACAGAGTACACACCTGTCCATAAATTCAGCAAACGGGAATATCATTCCTTGTTTCACCCATGCATAATCCTGCATACAATTCCAAAGAAAATAGTACAGTACCATACGCTAAGCAACAAAAACAACATGAGAGATGAGATTACCCTCTGAGTTCCATTTTTTGAGTACCCAAAAAACATAACGCAAATAGAACCAGGAACACAACAACTTAAGACTGATTCAGGAGCTTGCAATATGGGATCAATCACAATAGCCGGCCAAGCAGGATATCTCTTCCCACATTTAGCCCAAACTATATCACCCAAAGCAAAATCATCCGGCTTATAAACATCTTTCCTTTTTCCAGCTCCCTCTTTCCTTAACCTCTCTAAACCATTATATCCATTACAAGGCACAAACTCATCTGTTTCCAACAATGCCGAAGAAGAATGCAAATAACTTCCGCAATTGAAACTACTCTTGATCCCTGGATAATCCGTTCCTCGTTCCTCTCTTCTTTTACTAATTAGATATAAATCCGAGCTTCCATATCCAAACTTATCTTTCATATATCTTGACCAATCAAACTCATCGTCCTCCAAGCTTGAATCCGTGTATTCGGCCTCGAATTTTTTACTTTTCCATAAATCAAGAACAGCGTCGTTGAATCTAGAAGGAAGCATTTTTGTTCTTCCTCTAGATGATTTCAACAATGGAGGCTTCAAATTCTTCTTGGAACTCTTCTTAGTTTTCTTTGCCTTATTCAACTTCATCAAATTAGACTCCGATTCACCAGCCCAGTACGACTCCTCGCTGCTCCAATAACCTGAGCCGCTGCTGAAATCTTCCAAGTCGCCGTAGGAATAATAACCGTTCGATTTCAATCTCTTGGGGTTACCGTCATAATCGTAATATATTTCCTCTTCCCCGCGGTCACCGTAATTCATCCCTTCCATCTTGCAGCGTTTCATACTCGGCATTTCAATATTCCCGTTCCGTTTGATTATCATCCCCCTATCTATATACGCACGTCAATCAAAACCCTGATTTTTATATCGAAACAAAGCCCCTGCTAGATTGAACGTTATCGGTTGCCTTAAAATCAAATCGGAGATAGCGTAATCAAAAACCAATCGCAACGGAACCCAATATTGAAACCCTAAAAGGAAACCAATCCACAAGAGGAAACAAGGAAAAAGAATGAAGCAATAGGACTCGCACGTTCTTCCCGCGAATCTTCAATAATGTTCCAATGAGAAGAAAAATTCGAATTTCAGGATTAAAAATTTAACACGAAAAGGGTAATCCACGTTGATGTGAATTGCTGTTATGTGCCATATACAGATGAAATAGGGAAAGATACCGAAACTTGCAAAAGTTATGGAGTTACGTGATCTGAGGCGACATCTACCTTTGCGAGATTTGTTTATATTTGCTTGGGTTTTAAGTAGAAGGTTTAGAGGCCAATGGGGTAATATATTGTTGGTTTTAAGTGTGTGCCTTGGCGGGGTGGCGCGGATTGCCACATGGTTTTTCTCCAGATACTGAAACCCGAATTTTTTATTCAAGGGTAAACTATATACAGTTGACCACTAAACTATGTTACACTTTTACTTTTTCCACCAATCTTTCAATTTTATCAATCACACCACTTAACTATTTAATTTGTTCAATCAAACCACTAACAGTTAATATTTGACGAAAATATTTATGTGAAAGTTAAAAGAATTGATATATTTTTATATTTAATCCTTAATATTTATATATTCTTTTAATTTGGTCATAAATTAAATTAAATTTAATAATTTTCTATCCAATCAAGAGGTGACATGTGTCACCAACCGATTGGATAGAAAATAAAGGGGTGAAATTACTCTGGGGTGGAATCAAACATGAGACAGGATGGATAAACAACACCTCAACCACTACACCAAACATCCCCAATGATTTATTATTTACGAAAAATTGTATTTATCCTTTTTAAAGCTTTATAATGGTAAAAGAATATATAAGTAGAAATAAATTAGAATTAAACTTTTTTAATATTTAATTCAAGTTAATCTATTAATAAATTATTTTTTCCCGATTATAAAAAATATTTTTTAAATATTTTACATCAAATTTATTTAAAAATAAATTTAAAATTTGTTAAATTTATATATTGAGAATGTAAAAAAAATATTTTAATAAAATATATTATATATTGAGAGTGTAAAAATGTATATATAATCATTGAAAATAAAAATTTAATAAAATTAAAATTATGATTGGTTTTTTATTTAAAAATTTTCTTTTAAAATTTGGAAAATAAAGCGAACAATGTTTGGTAGAAAAACAAAGTTCAGAATAATAATAATAATAAGTATATAAAAAATCATGTAAGTTTGGTAACCAGAGTGGGGTTTGTCTAAGTGGTTTGAGTGTGTCTGCTCAACATTATGGTACCGTGTTCAAATCCACCCAAGAACAAATTTCATCTCTTTATTTTTTTTATCTAATCAGAAGGTGATAAAAATATACTCCAATCATGTATTAATATATGTGTCACTAACGAAATGTGTCATGTTCATGTATTAACATGTGTCAAATTCTGATTGAATGATTAATTTATTAAAGTATATTTAAATTATGACTCAATTGAGAGAATATATAAATATTAAGGACTAAATGTAAAATTATATTAATTTTTTAACTGTCACATCAGTATTTTCCGTCAAATATTTACTGGTAGTGGTCTAATTGAACAAATTAAATAGTTAAGTGGTGTGATTGACAAAATTAAAAGATCAATGGTAAAAGGGCTACATAGTTACGTAGTAATTGTATAGTTTACCCTTTATTTAATCACGATATTTGAAAAACGCGATCTTTCATCTATAAGGTAAAAAATATATCAAGTCTATGTACTTTTAAACAAATTAATGTGATTTTCTTATTATATTTTAGTGTGATCCTCCAACTCATAAAATAAATTTAATGTGACAGTTTGACTAATGTTTTTATCATTTTATAATCTAATATATATGTGAAATACAATTTATTTATTAAATTTATTTTAATAATTTAACACACGTGTGAGCACCATTTTTTCAAATCTTTGTCCCCACCATCATATATTTCAACACCAACCCCCCACAATCCTGCAAGAAATTTGCAACCACCCCACTTTGCTTATTTTATATATGTAAATTTTAGCTATAAGGAAAAGGAGGGGGGAAGAAAAAAAAAGGAATGTAAAACGGGGGTTCAAACAGAAAAATGAGTGAAACAATTGTAGAGTTTTCTCTCAGAGATTTTAGAGTAATAAACAAGCAGATTAAAGGGTCAATTTTTAATTTTCGTATTCAAATACTGATTTTTTTTACTCTATGCTATTACGAGAAAATACTAAAATAAATAGAGGAAGGAAGCAAAGTAGTCTACCTTGGCCAGAGTGGTGGTCCTAGAGGGTTAAAGCTTTCGGGTTGGTGGCCTAAGGTTGGTTCAACGCCGATTCACGGCGGTTTTGTGTGTTTCGGGTCTCGGTCAAGAGGAAAGAAAGAGGTTAGGCGATAGATGAAGTGAAAGAAGAGAAAAGAGTAAAGGAAGAAGGGCTTGAGGGAGGAGATGTAATGGTGGTGAATGGCCACCGACGTGGTGGCCGGACGCGGTGGCCCTAAGGTTTTGGTTGTGTCAGTCGAAGTTTGAGAGAAAAATGGTTGGGAGTGCGCAGGAGTTGTTAGCGTGAAGAAGAGAAAAGAAGAAGAAATTTATGTGCGGCTTTAGGGAAATTTATGTGCGTGGATGATAGCTTAGTTTAGTTTAGGTTACATATTAAAAACGTTTTGGTAAAATTATAGTTTAGCCACTAGAATTTTAAGAGAATTAGTTATAGACCTATATTTATGTATATTTTGATTTAGGTCACTAGTTATTTTTAATTTACATGGCTTATTCTCACATGTTTATATATATTTTTAAATTTTATATTTTAGCATGGCATGTCTTTATTTTATATTTAAGTCACTTTGTACATTATATATTAATATGTATTGTTTATAATTTTTAATTAATATATATATATATATAATATATATATTATATATATATATATTATATATATATATATATATATAATTTGTGATATTAAATTGCATGATATTTTTCATATATAGTTTAATAACTTAGATTAATTAGATTTTTAATAGTTCCTAACTTTAGAAGTTGTCATTTTAGATCCTTATTCTTTTAATATTTAGGATTCGGTACTTTAAACCTTGACCTTTTTATCTTTGAACTTAGATTTGACATAATTAAATAGGTTAAATAGAGCCTCCATTTTAGTATATATTTCAAACTAATCTTTTAATTTAGGAGATAATTCGAGACGGCCCTCGCGTAAACGCTCGAGGGACCATCTCAGTTATTCGATTCAATAATTAATTAAAATCAAATAGGATTAATATTAGATCCTACGTTCTTAGGCTTGAGCCCCTAGGTTCTTTAATTTTCATAATTTGACACCGTAGGTTAGAAAAAGCCTTAATTTATTTTTTAGTATAATTAGGATAAATAAAATTTTGCTTGATTGCATGTTTTTAAAACTTAAGGCACTGTTCACTTATTAAGGAGTTAATATATCCCTCCGCGATCGTGCTCAGGGGGTGACTACGGGTAATTCCCTAAAATAGTTGACATCATTTTCAAAACTGCATTTTTTCTAAAAACGAGGCAATGTTCGGTTATTAGGCACAATAGCTGATCTCCCGCATTTACGCTCGGGGAGAATGCTATCGGTCTCAATAAACAAATACCCTTTTCAACTTTGCACCCTTAATGATTTTTAAATTAAATAAAGATCGAACTCAAAATTTACGATTTTAAATATAGGGTAATCAACTAGGTACCAATTTTTGGCCGCTTGTGGGGTGCTAATCCTTCCCCACGCGTAACCGACTCCCGAACCTGATTTCTGGATTTTCACAGACCCCAAAACTCGGTATTTTATTAAAATAAAATGTTTTACTAAAATCACCCAGTTTTTTACGGTGTTCCAATCTCACCTTAAATGATTGGTGGCGACTCCTCACATTTTTAAATGATTTTCAAAGAGAAAACCCCCGAGTCGGTATCGGTCTTTCCCCGCCGGGCGAAAAACGGTGTCAACAGCTTGGCGACTCCGCTGGGGACTTTTGTTATTTAAAACAAATTGAGAGTTGAGCCACGAGTTGGTTACCCTATATTTATTATTTGTAAATTACGAGTTCGATCTTTTTTAATTTACGGTTCATTATGTTATTTCAAAAAAGAAAAAAATATTTCTCTCTCGTTAATGCTTACATTTTTGTGAATATTTAGGGTTGTTGCATATCATAGCTCTAAACCCGAGCTCAATCCCAGTTTACATAAGTAGGGAGAAACGTCACACCTCACGAGGAGCATTGGGTTTCCTTGTGTGGGTCTGACAAAGTATCTCTGGAAAGTACCCTAAGTTGCCTATCCGGATATCAGTTCCGGGTACGCTTTTAGTGGTGTGATCCCCTGAGCCGAACCCGATTCGCAAGTCTGTAATGGGCCAGAATCGGGACAACCTTAGTAGGTTGTAAAAATGGCTTGGGACCCTTTGCTAGAAACCAGCCTCATATAGAATTTAGTAAGCTTACCCGCTTTTGTATGATATTATTGCATTTTTGCATGTATCATTGTCATATCACATCATTTCATAAACGGTATTGATTCCCAGATTACTTAGTTATTATAAAAAGAGCTTAAGGCAGCAATGTCTTCCGATGGGATGAGAATGCAATCAGTGTTCAGACCTGGTCCGAGTACGGGCAGACACGGTTCAGAGACATACTTGTAACTATTGAAGAATCCGTTTTGCCAGAGAAGGTAATTATCCGAGCCCTGTAGCACGCTCAGAGACTGAAGAGCAAAAAGATGAGCTAACTAAGAATTGGTGCAGAGGCGAGCACAAATTGAGCAGCTCGAAGCACAACTGCTTAGTTTGGATGAGACTTTTCAGAATCCTTACAACATCAATGGGTTCCATCTTCAAGAAGAAAATGAGATGTTAAAGAAGATGATAGCAGAGCTAGAAGGAGTATTGTTGATCCACTCATCCGCACGATAGATAGCTAGACATGAAAGTGAGGCCTTAAAAGCCAAGAGAGCTAGAAGTTACAGTACAGAGATGCCATCAGTGAATTCAACAGTCAGAGGAGAGCCAACCATTAACTAATCCAGAACTTGGAACCGCGCTACGACAAACTC